CAGTATATAAGTGAATGTACAAAATTGAAAATGAAAATGAATAAAACATTTAAACAAAAAAAAAATATGTTTCTCCCAAAAGCCCGTTGCAATGAAGTGAATACTAACTAAACAAATCTGGTCTACAATGCCCATTATTTTTAGTTCAAACGGCTTGGGGAAGGTTGCCCAAAACAATCTTCTTTAACTGAAGAGAAGCTAAGTTACGGGATTTATAGCAGTGTTTTTTGTAACTAAATCAGTTAAAGCTGCACATTTGCTTGGGGTTACTACTTGTGAGATGGACTTTTAAACAAGCAAAAATCACACTTTGGCTGTCTGTTCTTTGAAATGTCTGTGCTACCAGTTGCTAGGGAATACTGGTCTGTTTTTAATTCCTTTCCCTAATATACAGTGAAAAAGACTGGATTTCTTGTTCCACCTCAATTGTATTTCTTCTTCTGCCTCCAAACACGAAGAAGAAGCCCAGTCATATTCCCCAGCTAAAAACGTGTCTTATATCCCACTAAGTGACAAAAAAACAACAACAAGTGAAGTTCCCAACTCTAGTCACAGAGATATAGTATGAGAATTAAAAAGGGAAAGGAAAGAAGAGGTTTTGATTTTATTTGTGGGACATTAAACAGAATGCTTTCCGGGGATTCTGGGTTGACAATGTCCTCCAAAGACGAGTCAAGGAGTCACAGTCATTGTGAGAAACAAAAAAACTGGGTTAGGAACTGTTACTATAACCAAATTTGCTAGTTGTTTAAACCAAATGGACTGATACGGATTTTCAATCAGAACAGACTAGCTTAACCATGGTGACAAAACCATGGTAGTCTCTTGAACAAAGTTAAAGTAATAATTAGAATTACTATCTTGTAAGACTCCATTTGACAACAATGATTTTTTTTTCTTAACCTTTGCAGGGTTTATGAGTCACAGTGTGCAGTGGTTAGACTGCAGTACTGCAGGCTACTTCTGCTGATTGCTGCCTGCAATTTGGCAGTTCGAATCTCACCAGGCTCAAGATTGACTCAGCCTCCCATCCTTTGAGGTGAGTAAAATGAATACCCAGATTGTTGGGGGCAATACGCTGACTCTGTAAACCAGTTAGAGAGGGATGTAAAGCACTGTAAAGCGGTATATAAGTTTAAGTGCTATCGCTATTATTCCAATTCACCTCCTTAGCATTGATGGTTGAGACTTCTGTGATTCCGGCCACTTGGATGAAACCTTTAGCATCCTCACGCAGATCCAGGTAGCCCAAGGAAGGGTTCAGGAGGTCTCGGATCATCTCATTATAAATCTAATTAAAAGAAAAAGAGAAAAATATCCATGGTAAAGGCTGGGGAATTATAAGCAGCTTGGGAAAAAAAAAATATACTGGTAGGCTTGAGAATAGATAGAAATTGGTTCCTTGGTCGCTGCCTTCTTAGATGCATCCTTCTCTTCTCAGAGATGGGGGGAAACACCTTGTTGGAGGTGAAGGGAAGAGCTCAAAATGTCAGTGCTTAAACACTCTATGAAGCAAAATCACAGAATAGAAGCATCTCCACATTCGGGTTCCATATCCTAGTACCAAACATCTGGAATCCCATCAACAATAGCTTACTGCTGTGATGGCAAACCTCTAGCATGCATGCCACAGGTGGCACGCAGCACCCTCTCTGTGGACACGTGGGCCACTACCCCAGTTCAGCTATGTTTCACATGCGCTTGCGCCTCCTGCCGGCCAGCTGGTCTTCGGGTCTCTGCTGCGCAGGCATGGGGAGTGGGGCTGCATGAACATGTGCAGGGGGTGTGCATGTCCATGCATGAGTGGTGGGGTGCATATACAGGGGTCACGTGGGCTTTGCATTTTGGGGGTTTGGGCATGCACCCATGCATTCACATGCATGCACACTTTGGGCACTCGATCCAGAAAAGGTTAGCCATCACTGGCTTACTGGATCAGAGAGATTAGCTGGCAATCAGGCAGCACCACCATTACCTCTTGTGTGCATTGAATGCAGCCTGGATTTGGTATCTGAAATGCTGCTGAAAATGCTGAATAAAGGTCACAATCTGAATCACATCATCAACTAGATTCAATGTGGTGCAGACATGTGTAAACACAAGAAAGTTGATTCAAGAGAGAAGATAGAAAAGACTGGATTTCCAAAGTATAGTGGAAGCAAAATGGAAAGATGATCACTCTCCTTTCAAACATTGGAGCAGGCTTGAGGAGAAGGAGAAAGAATCCTTCATTCCTTCAGGAAAGTCTTGTTGTGCTCAGGGTTTCCTTCCAGACACTACTTCTTGCCTTTCCTGTTTTGTTGCTGAGTGCTGCTTGTTCCAGGCTGCTAATGTGAGTCAATATTATACTAGCATGAGTCCTAATGGGTTGCTATGGAAATTATCTCCACATACCATATGTATACATCAGCCATAAAGGCGGAAAGGCTGGAGAGGACAGGATATATTGGACAAAGAAAACAAAAATGGCAGGGTCCCTTATAACCTTTCATCATTCAGGAAAAACAGAAGGAAATACACACCACTTAATGTGTAAATAAATATGAATTCAATACATGCCTGGCACACTAGCTACTGGGAAGTATGTCGCTTGGTATACATGTCCCTTTGTATACAGGTAGTCTTCAATTTTATGGCTACAATTGGGACCAGAATTTATGTTGCTAAGGAAGGCAGGTATTAAGTAAGTCGCACCAGATTGCACAAAAATTAATGGTAAAGTCCTCAAACTTAGGAGCATGTTAAAAACATGCACAAAATTAACAAAATTGGGAAATCAAACACGGCATAAGTAAAGGATTGTCTCTCTGTTCCTTGGGAAGATAACTGAGCAGTTTCAGACTTTCTTATCATTCATTCATTCATTCATTCATTCATTCATTCATTCATTCATTCATTCATTCATTCATTCATTCA